GGGTAATGGGTGTAAATTGGAGCACAGGAGGTTCAAGGTGAATATCCGAATTTTTTTTTTACTGTAAGAGTGACAGAGCCCTGGAACAGGCTGCCCAGGGAGGGTGTGGAGTCTCCTTCTCTGGAGACATTCCAACCTGGACGTGTTCCTGTGTGATGTGCTCTGGGTGCCCCTGCTCTGGCAGGGGGGGTTGGACTGGATGATCTTTCGAGGTCCCTTCCAACCCCTAAGATTCTATGATTCTATGAAAAGCAGTGGGGGATTTTGTAAGCCCTTCCTGCAGTCGGTGCTTTCAGAGCCCAGCCAAAGGCCACCCTCCATAAACCAACCTGCAGAGCTTATCTTCCTCCGAGAGGGGAACCAACTCAGGCAGCAGGAGTGGAGCAACACATGAGTGAGGATGGGAGCAGAGGGATCACTCAGTGCTGGCCGTGGAAAAACCAAACACCAGAGCAGTGTATCTGCTGGCATCTGGCAGGGAGCATCCCAGGGCAGAGGTGAAGCAAATCTGTCTTTGCATGGAGCAGGTGGTCTTGTTTCCACAGGGAAAAGGAGGGATGATGCTATGATCCCTCCCTCTGTTTTTTCCTTTCTCTGGTGTTTCAGGCACCATCATCTTGCCCACGTGGCACAGACACCAAGGGTACCCAAGGTGAAGGGCTTTGCTCCCACAGCTCTTTGGGGTAAAAAGCACCGAAATATTAAGTGGTTTATATTTTCCTGCTGTTCCATTGACCACAGAACGAGAACAGATCCCACCAGCTGGTGGCTGGAGGATTTGGGGTTGGACTAGATGATCTTTCGAGGTCCCTTCCAGCCCCTAAGATTCTATGATTCTATGATTCCCGGTTGGATTTGGCAGCGCCTGCAGGGCCAGGAGAGGGCACTACGGCCCTGCCGGTGGCTGGGACAGCATTCCCGGCCGGAGGGTGCCCGGGATTCCTACCGAGGAGGGGGCCCGAGGAGGATCTGCCCTCGTGGAGCATCGGGACAAGCTGCTCGGCTCTGCAGCAAAGGGAAGAGCAGCAGGAAACAGGGAGAAAGATGAGTGAAACTGCTTAACTGGGGTACAAAAGATGCTCTGCTGTAGGGGGAAGGAGAGCTCTCGTGGTCCCCAGCTTTTCCAGGGCTTTCCTCCCACGTCCAAGCTGGCTGGAAGCCACCAGCAAATCCGTGTTTGACGCAGGGAAGACACCTGATCACGTCCGTCTTCGTGATGGGGAAAACCCAGAGGTGGGGGTCACGCTGAAAACACTAGAGAACAGCCCAGGAACACCCCGAAGATCAGGCAGGGCCTGAGTGGCTGGGGCTTTGCCACAGGCTCAGGATCCCTGGCAGGAGTCCAGCCCCTCCAAACAAGCAGCCCTGTGCAAACCACCTCGTGTCACCTTTCTGCTTCCTGGAGCAGCTCAAACATCAGCCCACAGAAATCTCCCCTCTCGCCCTGTCCTGCAAACGTCAAGTCTGACTCCGGAACTTCCTCTCCTCTCTGCTTTTTCCCCTTCCATCTTTTTCCCCCCCCCCTCATCTTCCTCCACTTATTCCTGGTTAGAGTCTCACTGAGCACACCCAGCTCTGGCTGCCAGGGTGCTGCCCTCTCCTGAGGATGCCCTCTCTGACCACACAGGTGCTCCAGCCTGTGGCTTCGGACTGGGTTGGAGGTGAGGCTTGGAGAGCCTTCCCACCCGCCCACCCATCCCTTCAGAGAAACCTGTCTTTCCAGGGAGGGAGAGCAGTATGTGGGAAAGCCAAGAGCCCTGGAACGTGAATTAGCCAGGGAGAGATGAATGTGTGATAGCTTGTACCTGGCAGCCACCGACCCAGCCTGTTAACGCTTTCAAGGAGGGGTTTGAGCAGCACTGGAGCTCAGGTGCTCAGGGCAGGCATCCTGCCAGCCCAGGCCATGGTAGGGGTCATCAGGGGGGTCCATGGCAGGGACAGGGAGCAACCACAGTGCCTGCATCCATCAGGGTGTCAGTTGGTGGCTGTCACAGCACAGAGCCCAGGCTCAGGATCTAGCCTCTGGCAGCTTCCTACCAAAAGCCAACAGTAGGGTTGGTTTGTTTTTTACCCTGGCTTCCCTGGAAGCCAGTTCAATATTGCAGCTTTGAACAGCATGGAGGAGGAGAAAGAGGCTGTCTGCCCCTTCCTGGGGGACTGATGTATCGTACAGGGCCCAGGCCTGGAAAGGGGAGACTCCCTGTGCTGACCCCAGCCCCTGCCCTGTGTCTTCAGCCAGGCCAGGTTACCCTTCTGCTCCCAACTTCCCTTTCTGTGCTGGTGGTTTCATGTGGCATCATTCAGGGTCAGCCCAGATCTGGGGCCTGAAAAGCCTCAGCCACACAGGCTGCTCTTGTGGCTCACTCTGAGCAGACCCCAGAGCCACCAGGGATGAAATTCCAGCAGACCCCAAAGCCACCAGGGATGAAATTCCAGCCACTGGAACAGGCTGCTCAGGGAGGTGATTGAGTTACCATCCCTGGATGTGTTGAAGGGTCGTTTGGATGTGGTGTTGGTGGATGTGGTTGAGGGGAGCACTTCGTAGAGTAGGGATGATGGTTGGACTGGGTGATCCCAAAGGTCTGTTCCAACCTGGACAGTTCTATGATTCTATGATTCTGTGAAGTGAAGGGGCTGTTCCTACAGCTCGGATGCCTTCCCCTCTGGGTGCTGCTGCCTACCCTTGGCTTCTCTCACCAATACCAAGGGCCAAAGCCAAAAGCCTCACCAACCAGGTGGACAACCTGGGGACACCGAAGCCCCCCCAGGCTGGTGCAGCCCAGCAGGCAGGTGCCTCCGTGCAGCTGAAGGGCGGGCAACCCGCCTTCCCTTCTTCCCTCCCCTCCTTCCCACCCCACCCCACGCCCTGGCAGCGCTGCAAGGGACTCATCCATTCCTGAGTTACTAATATGCAAATGGGTGCATTTTGCATGGGCCAGGAGCCAGGCTGCTGGGTGTCAGGGCACCCGAGGGAGCCGGAGGTGGGGCGAGGCGTGGCGAGGAGCCGCATGCTCACCTGGCCCTGCATGGCAACAGGCAATGGAGCTCTAGGTCCCTTCGGGAACGGACCCACGGCCGGTTTGAGAGGCAGCAGGTGGCAGAGGAGGGAGGGCAAACTGGCAGCCCCTGGCAACCTGGGGCTGAGGGCAGGAGGCTGGGCACACCGCGGATTTCCCTCCGCCAGCAGGATGGTGAACCTGGAGTCTGTGCACGCAGGTAAAGGAAGGGTCGGGCTGGAGCTCAGTAGGTAGCTGAGCACTGCAGACTTGGGCAGGAAATGGGGTTGCTGTGATTCTTGTGACCTTTCCTCCCTCCTTTCCCTCTTTTCTTCCCTGCTGGCGTCGGGCAGTGCCTGGTTTCGTGCTCACATCCCTGCCCAGGGATGGATGCTGCTGCAGCCTGAGCCTGTGCAGGGGCTGCCAAGTTGTGCCCACCATGTGGGTGCTCCCCTGGTGCTGCCAGCCCTGACGGGGGGGCAGAGAGCAGAGAGAGAGCAGAAGTCTCTTGGATACCCAGAAAATGGGCATTTAGTGCCTGAGCTGTGAGTCCAGTCGTTGGGATCAGGCTGGGAGGAGTGAGAGGGGATCAGTTCCCAGAGGGATGAGGGAAAGGTGGAGGGAATGGGGTTGTGTGAGCGTGAGAGCAAGATGGGAGGTGGGTCAGGAGAGAAGTTAATGACAAAGAAGGGAAAAGGAGGGAGAAATGAATGAGGAAGGAGCTGTAGGAGGCTGGGTTGGGTGAGGAATGAATGAACGGGAACACTCAAAGAGAGACTCATCCCAGGGGGTCTGACCCAGGGGTACAGCTTAGGGAGTCACATCTCTGAGCAGAATTAGCTGGGGAAGAAGAGCAATCACTGCCAAATCTCTTGCAGCCATGCTGAGCTCTGGCTCACCCTGACAGAATGAGTTGAGCTTCTGCCCTCAGCACAAGCTGCTCCTGGGGAAGGATGGTGTCCCTGGGCATGCTGAAGTTGAGGGTGACACTGGGGTAGGAGCAGAGTGGCAGTGGCAATGAGGGCCAGGTCTGACAGCCCCTTCTGTGGCAGGAGCAGGCACTGGGGGTTTGGGAGCCGTGTGCCCTGGTGCTTTGAGCAGCAGGAGATGCTGTGTCTCATCCCCAGGTGTGGAGGGGAGGGAGCAGCCATCCATCTGGCTGTCCCAGGCTCATTCCCTTCACATTGGCACGCTGCAGGTGTTTGGTGCTCCTGCTGTGCAGGGGAGATCTGGGGGGTCTGTGTCCATTTCTTGTAGCCCCCTCAACAGGCCCTGCCTGCACGTGGACTCACAGGCAGGCCAGCTGGGCAAGGCAGGTGCTGTGACTCTGCCATCGCCTAACACGGTGTCACCCTGCAGTTTGGCCAGCAGAGATGGCCAAAGCCTCTGCTCAGTGCCTGGTCTGCAACCTCCCACAGCTGTGAGCCACCAGCAGCTCCTCCAGGGCCACCAGCACCCTCTGAGCAGGCTGGCTCCCTGTGCCAGCCCCGGGGAGAGCAGCTGGGGACCCCCTGGCACTGCCTGGCAGGGCCCCGAGGATGAGCTGCAGGAGGTTCAAGGTCTTGGCTCAGCCTGTGAGCCCGACTAGTCTGAGCACCTGCTGGGTGTGCTGGGTGTGCTGTGCGCGGTGTCTCTCGGGGACGCAGCCCCCGCAGGCCCCGACCCACCCAGCTGTTCTGCTTGTGGGCGACTCTTTCCTCATGAGAAGATTCCCCAGATCCATTGGCTCCCTGTGCCAGCCCCGGGGAGGGCAGCTGGGGACCCCCTGGCACTGCCTGGCAGGGCCCCGAGGATGAGCTGCAGGAGGCAGGAGGTTCATGGTCTTGGCTCAGCCTGTGAGCCCGACTAGTCTGAGCACCTGCTGGGTGTGCTGGGTGTGCTGTGCGCGGTGTCTCTCGGGGACGCAGCCCCCGCAGGCCCCGACCCACCCAGCTGCTCTGCTTGTGGGCGACTCTTTCCTCATGAGAAGATTCCCCAGATCCATACTCTGCCCTCTGTCAGAGCTGGTGCCATCACTGCCCAGGGCTGGATCAGCTGGGAGCTGCACGGAGCTGGCTGCTCTGGGAACTGCCCCTCCGCCAAATCATCCCACCCCTGCTCCCTGTCAGGGCTGGGGTGGGGGGTTCTAAGGTTTAAGCAAGTCTTTCTGTAGAGCAGAAGACCAGCCTGGGCCCAACCACGTGCCGTGGCCCAGCCGTGGTGCTTTCTCACCCTCGTGCAAAGGCAGTTCAGGTGGTTCAGTCTCGGGGTCCCCCAGCAGCAGCCAGCTGCTCGCCGAGGTGTGTTCTCTCCTCTCCCCCAGCCCTGCGGAGGAGATGCAGCATCACAGGTGAAGGGGGGGCTCCTGGTGCCCCCCACGCTCTCCTCCTCCCTGCTGAGAAGGTTTCCTTGGCCTGTCCCATCCCCTCTTCCCCAGGCGTTGGGATATTTCACCTTCCTGCAGCCTCCAGAGGGGCTCAGGCACAGAAAGTCCAGTATTTTACCTCCCAGAGGGGGCTCTGGCACATAAAACCCAGCAAATTCACTAGAATCCAGGTAATGTTCTCAACCAAGCTGATTCCTCCCCCTCAATTTTCCCTTTTCCATTTCAAACCACCAGGCTGGTTCACCCCGGTGCCCACGTCTGAACAACACCAGGGCTTGGGAAAACTTTTATTTGCTGACACCATTTGTTTCAGCAAAAATAGAGATGCAGATAGATCCCCAGAGAAGTGTCTGCACTGGCAGAGTTTCTTTGGTCTGGGTGAACAAACCAGACTACCCCTACTCCAGGTATGTTTGCTAACTGAGGGAGAGCAGCACATTTTTAATATGGCTCAGGCCGCAGTGGCGGCTCCTAATAGGTATGTGGTTAGGAGTTAGGCAGTCCTAAGTTGCAGTATTTTTTCCCAGACATTTTTTTTCCTAGCCTGTATATTGCCAACCTAGCAAAGCTGTGCACTGGAGCCTGCATTGGGTTGCCCTCAAAGTCCCACAGCCTGGTTTTTTTTTGTCTTGAGATGTTTTGTCAGACCAGGGCAGAGGAGTTTCAAAATCCAGAAACTCCATCAAATTCGTCCTGATTTTATAGTGGAAGACTCTGGGGTGTCTATAAAGAAGGTGTTGCCTTTGTCTTGGCTGCTTTTATGTTAGAAAATAACTCCTCTGGATAGTTGCTCCTTGTTCTCAAGGACCCATGGGCTGATCATGGAATCATAGGATATGTGGAGTAGGAACAGACCTGGTTCTGCTCTGCTGTCCATAGGTCTAAGAAACCATCCCCAAACCACTTGGGTCAAGGTTTTCTTTTTCCTTCTGGGTTGTTTTTTACAACCTCCTCCCCCCACTCCCCAGATATTTAAACTTTTATTACATTTATGTAATAAAAATGTAATAAATAGATGTAAATTTATGATGGGGATTTGAATATTTGTGAAAATAAACTTCTTCTCCTCTGTGCATGAGAGAATCACAGGGCATCTTATTATCTCCTGACTCCAGGAGGTGGTAATTTAAGTGATGGATAGCATGTGATATGTAATCAAGCCAAGCTGCAATTCCTCCTTTCCTCCCCACCCACCCCAGGTTATAAACAGTAGAGGGGCTGAAGCTTCACTCCTGGGAGAGAACTTCTCCTGGTTTGCTTTTGTGACCTCCCTCCTTCAGCTCTGTCTCTTGGTGCCCATGAGGAGATCCTTGGTCACAGAGAGTAGGTAATTTTCTTCCCCTGACTTCTGTGCTCACCATGAAACCTGCATTACTTAATTTTTAAAAGAAACTTAGCAAAGCAAGCACCAAACTTCAGTGTGATTTAAGTTTGGGTGGTGTGGTGTTTTTTTTTCTCCTTATTCTGTTTTATGAGAACTTGGCTTTTTTTTAAAGCTGCTTCTTTTTTTTTTGGCAGCAGGCAAAACTTTGTGCTTTGTAGATTGCTTAAGTTAGGGTCCCTTGGCAGTGTTACAAGACAAGAAGATGTTTATAGCTGGTGATAATTACTCTTCCTGCAGTAGAAATGCTTAGAAGCCCCACTAAATGTTCAGGTCTTAATTGCAGTGGGTTTATTTGAAGGGAAAAAAAAAATAAAAATCCCACATCTCTCCTCTCTTCTTTTTCCCCCCTCATTCCTTAATAGATTTTAAAGAAAGGAAGTTTCTGAAGCACATGAATGTTCCTGCACTCTGGCTCTGGTATAAGACCTTGTGCATTTTTTCTTCTTTCCTTTGCTGAAGGAAAAGTAAAAGAAGCTCTTCCATGTTGGCCAAAAAAGCAGATAATTTGCCATTTGTAGACTGGGAGTTGGCACAGGGGGAAGGAAAACCTGAGCATACAGAGGAAAAGGCCTTTCTGCTTTCGTGTGATTCATAAAGTAGGTCTAAAAACTGACAGGGTGCTTCTCCCTCTTCTTGGCCATTTGGAAAGAATACAAGGCACATATAGGAAAGAGGAAAAGGTTTGCATGAGGCCTTTAAGAAGGTTTCCACCTGCTTTTTCTACCCCAGCAAAACCACAGCAAACACTGGCCCAGCTTCCACACTGTTGTTATTACCCAATGCAAATGGGATGAGCTCTGTGGCCGGGATTGGCTGCAGGAAGCACATGCAAATCAGTTGGTTCTTTATTAAAAAAATAAAATAATAGTATTATCTTCCCTCCCAACTAGACTAGAAAGAGTTAAAATTCCCATGCAGAGGGTAGGAGAGCTGCAGGGGTGTCCATCTGAATTTGAATAGAGGTTCTTCCTTCTTCCACCTGCTGTACTTGGCCAGTTTTAAGGAGATGAGCAATCCAGTGTCAAGTTGACCCTTCCCACCTTTTCTTTCAGCTGTCCCCGAAGGAGAACGTGGCCCGGGGTGTGGTGGCAGTCATCACTTCAAGGGTAAATGACAACTTTATTGGCATTGATAAGGATGGGAGGAAGCAGGCAAAGCACCCTTCTTGAGGCTGGGATGGGGACAGGGCTTTGGAGCCCTGGTTTGCAAAGGGTGTGAGCACCCACATGGGGGAGAGAGCAGAGAAAACGCCTTCTAAGTAGGGATCAGGTGTATTGAAACAGCCTGAGTTGGCTTTATTTGACTCTCTGAGAGCATCTTGTTCTGCTTTTCTGAGGCTGGTCCTCTCTGCTTGTGCTTTGTGCACCACCAAGCACTGGCCTTGTGCTGGAGGGACAAGGAGAGGCTGTGGGAGAGGAGGGGGAAGCTGGGAGGGACCCTCTGCAGGTCTGGTGGGGGACCTTGTCAAACGGGGAGCCACAGCAGCTGCTTTGGGGAGCCTGCCTAAATCTCAGGGGAGAAGCTGGGTTAACCACTGGGAGGGTTCCCAGTGGTTACACAAGCCCTGGTGCTCTGGGTGGGAGAGGAATGAATGGGAAAGGTGAGAACACAACAGCAAACTGGGGAGGGGGAAAGGAATGAGGGGAGGGGGGAGGCAAAGAGCAACAGGAGGGAAAGTGCATCCTCGGAGCTGATGAATATTCTAGTGACTGTATGTTGAGGAATCAGAAATTTGAAAGTCTGATGGTTTATTATAATTACACATTCATTTGTGCTGTTTAGTGGAAGCCACATGTGCCTGTTGCCTGGGACTGTGACCTGTTATTAAAATCAGTTGTGCCTCCTTTTCCAGACATCAAGATGAGCGGTGATGCGGCAGATTCCACAGATACGCGGCACGAACCTGACCAGGTGGAGCCAGGTAAGGAGGGTCCAGGACATGTGGGGGGCAGGCAAGGGAACCTGAGGAGGAAGGGGAAAGAGAAGGAAAAGGGGATATCAGTGCTGGAAGTTTCTCTCCGTGCTTTGTTTGACTCCTGTTGCTGTCACACTCTGCTCCTCCATCCAGCCTGGGAGTTGATCAAGAATGTGCTCTTGGGGTTTGATTGTGTTTGTACCTTGACCAGCCTGCAAGATCCTTCTGTAACAGCAGGGAAAGCAGTGTGTGTGTGTCTCAGTCATGTCCTCCCTGGTTTTAGCTTGGAAATACATCTTGCCAGAGGAATAATGCCATTGGAGTAGTCTTGGTCCTCTCAGCTTAGCACAAGCAGCTCATTTTACACAGGGGTCACGTGAGGAATGTTTCCTGAGACAAAACTCCAGGGGACTAAGCCTTTGTTAGCCTTTTAGTATCTGTAGAAAAATGGGAGAGACTTAGGAAAAGAACATCCAGGTAGTTCCAGCAAAAATTGATTGCTCTTCATCTTGAAGCATGATTGGGTTTCTCATCTCCCACCTGATGGCTGCTCACTCTGCTCCGTGGCTGGAAGCCCCAGGTTTCCTTTTCCCTTGAATATGGAAAGCTGAAGAACAGGGTCGTTCAGGGTGACAGCAGTGGTGTTGGCACTGCCAGGTTCCCTACTGGCTCCTGCACTGCCACGAGGTGTGACACACATCAGAAAAAATCAGTTGTGGATTTTATGGCATCACTGCTGATGCAGTGAGCTCTGAATGCAAGACCTCGAGGCTGTAATTCCACAAAGACTCTTGGTCAGGTTCCTTTTTAGGCAAATAAATAGCAATAAGAAAAGATTTTCAGCACCCACTGGGTATAAGGAATTAAGATTATTAGAAACTGTGAGGCTCACCTACAGAGTCAGAAATAAACCACTTTTAAAATCAAAACAGAGAGATATGATGTAGAAGAATCATTGGTGTTGGGGGTCATGAAGAGCTCTAAGTTTGGGATGGGGGGGATGTGTAACAGCAGATTAAAACTCTGCCTGGAATGATTTTACTCTTTCTCTTTTACTTCAGTCATTTGAACCAATTTAGAAAACAATGAGATCTTGGGAAAGCCAGAGAATTCTAGGAATGTTTTCATGGGACTAAAATTACCCTTTTATTTACACCTTACACTGAGGACTAAAAATTCTCTGTGCACTTTGCTATTACACCGGGTTGTTTGACATAATCTAGAGATAAAATGTGACTCTGTTCAGGTTTTATTGACTTTGGGCAGGTCAGCTTCTGCTCAGGGCTTTCAGATGACCCTAAGTTGCTTTTGGAGAGAAACATTGCAAAGCCACCCACCAACAAACATGTCCCCAAACTTTCCAAGGTGTTTCAAAAAAACCCTGGTAGCTGTCCCAGGGCCTTCAAATGGGAAAACCAGTCTCCTGAAATGTCTTGTGCATCTTGGCACACAGAGGTGATGGATAACAGCAGAATTCAGGTTAGGGAAGAGTATTTTATTGTGAGAGTTGGTATTTGGTCTTGAGTTTGGCTGTTGCTAAGTGTAGTAGGAGATTCTGGCTGCTGCTGTTGTAGTCACTAGTGTTAAGTAAGTGTGAAGCTGGCAGAACAATTGATTGGATAAAATATGTTTTTCAGCTTAAGCTTCCCAGACAGCCATTAGTGTTAGCTCTAGCACCTCTTTCTAGTGGTAATTGAAAAAAGAAAGCAGAGAAGTGAAGTCAATTTGTTTTAAAATAACAAAAAAGGGTTTGCAGCAGCATTAGCTCTGCTCCAGGAGCCTGCAAATCAAGCAGGGAAATCAGAACAAGTAAATCTCCTTCATTTGCACAAGAGTGACACTTCCCCGAGGAATCATCCAAGGAACCTGTTTAAATTATTCTGATTTTTCTTCTCTAATGCAGTCCTCGTGACTGGCTGATCCGTTCAGGATCATCTGGGATCACCAGATCAGACCTAGTTGTGCTGAGAGACACTGCAAGGAGTTGGGATGATTTTTTCTTTCCCCTCTTTCCGACCTTTCTGTTTATAAACAACAAAGCTCTTTGTACTGAACTTCCTTGGAAGTTTTTCTTTTCCCTTAGACACATTGTTAGAGGAATATTTACTGCAACACCTAATAGTTCAGTGTTTTGTTTACTAGCTTCATGTGGGAAAAATCTGCTTTCCAATGAGTCATTAATTGAAGACCCATTTCATAATGAATTAGACCAATCCACAGGGCTCCCTTGGGATCTTGTTACCCCCAAAGCAGAGGGCAGTTACCAAACCAACAATCTTACAGTTTACAAAGAATGGAAATCCTTCTAGGTGCATATTTACAAAGGTCTTTCATCACCTAAAGATGCAGTCTGGCTCCGAGAAGAATAAATACATTTTAAAAACCCAACAAAACTGGAGGGAGTTGGGTGCCAAGATGCTTTTGTAAACCAAGCCCTTGATCTAAAACTGATGCCTAAAGATCTGATGGGAAGTGTCAGTAGCAGAAGCATAATCTCATCCTTTTATATCTCTGCCAGTTTTAGCCTTAGAGGGGGAAAAAAAAAGGGTAATTTGGGGTATTGTTTTGCTTTGAAAGTGTTAAAAATAATCGGGGGGGCTTTTTTCTTTTAGAAAATGGTCAGAATTCTTCCCCTTGCCTAGGAGGTTAGGGAAGCTAAGCTCTTGTCTTGCCTTTTTTATTCACAATGATTGTACAGAAAATGCTTCACAGATTTTCAGTGAGATGTTCTCCAAAACCCCACGTTTGAGTACCCAAACACACGTGTTTACTGGTTGATATGAAACGTTGCTCTTTTCCAAAAAGCTATGATTTAGAAGAAATCCATTCTAAGAGACATCACCTGCCCTGCCCTGAGAATCTCGAGCCTTCCTTTGCTTTAACTCTGCATTTCCTACCCCAGTCTGTGCTGAGGGTGTGAAGAGGGGGACCAGCACGAGTTTCTCCCACCAGGGCCAGGGGTCAGACTGCTTTCCCCCATGGCCCAGGAGCTGTGCAGCTCAGTCCCAGCCCCACCACCAGGTCACCCCACCAGTCTGAGGGTCCTTTTCACCCTTTCCTGCTGTGGGTTAATGCTGGGCTGGCAGGCAGAGCCGCTGACTCCATGGGGGGTAATGACAAGCGTGAGTTTTTCTGGTTGGCTCTGAGCTCTTTTCATCTTCTTAAACTGATGAAAGCCATGCCAGCAAGTTCTGGGTTGATTTTTTTAATGGGAACTGTGGGGGCTTGGCACTGCAGAGTGTCGCCCCTGGTCTTCAAGCCGAGAGGCAGAGATCTCCCCCTTCTTGTGGTTTATCTAAGCCCTCTGTATCTGATGCAACAAAACGCTGAGGTGGGACTTGCCTCTGTCTGTCTGTTTGTTTGTGTCAGACACTTGTTCCCCCGTTTATCTGCTCGATCAAAACAGGTTACACCAAGCAAAGCTACTTCCCTTTGATTTCATCTGTTGAGGCTATGGGGGGGAAGCCAAAGCTTTCACCAAAGGGCGATAGGGAAGCTCTTCAAACACAACCACGGGGAACCGAATAGCTGCGGGCGCTCCCAGCATCTTCCCTCCCCACCCTGCGAGATGGGGGAACTGGCCAGCCTGCCAGCAGCCCAGGGCGGGGTGCACGATGGGCACCCCAGCACACGGGGGGGAGAGAAGCTGGGGTGTGGGTGCAAGGTAGGGCAGCCCCACAGCACCGTCCTGCCCGCCCCGAGCAGCGGGTGTCGCTCCCCGGGACGCCGGGGCTCGTCGCTTGGCTGACCCAGCTGGGTCAGGGCTGGGATCTGGAAGAGCAGCAAGCCCAGGTGGAGGAGTGTGGTTTCATGGAGAGGGCACGTGGAGCCAGAAAGCTGGGCCCTGGGCCTGCTTCTGACTCTGGTGGCAATGGGAGGAGTGTTACCCAAGCCGCAGGGGTTGGGCAGCCTCTCTGGTGGTGTCGGGAAGCAATAAAGCAGGTATCTCCTCTCTGAGGGTGAGAAAGACCCTTTAAACCCCAGGAAAATGGAAATGGTCAGGAGCTGGAGTTGCATCTGCTCTTACAGTCTTGCAAAGTGTCCCTTTTGAGGGGGACACTGCTTTGAGTGTCACTCTTCTCCCCCGGCATCCCCAGGCTCAGCCAGGTTGTGCCTGTGGCAGGATGAGGCACCTCCCTCTGCTGCTCCACACCTGGCAGGGGGGGCAAGAAAGCAAAGGCAGCTCTGGACATGGGCACCAACATCTCCCATGCAAGCAGAAGGTCCTCCCAGTACTCTGGCTTCTGTGTCAGTGCAGACATTTGCATTAAATCCTTACCAGGATGATGATGATGACCAGGATGATCCAGTAGATGGAGAAACAGAGACCAGCCTGCCCTGCTGCCACACACCCCCTGTGCAAGCCCAGTTCAGTGTCTCTCTGTTCCTCAGCTCCAAAGTGAGGGTCCCTGTCTCTTTCCCCACCTTTTTCCCAGGGTCTAAGGTCTTTGATGCAGGTGCTGCTCTCTTGGGGGGTTGGTACAGCTCTTAGCAGAGCCCTGATCTGTGGTGGGCTCTGTCTGGGGAGGCTGCTGTTTATGGTGTTCCAACCATAGGTGTCTGGGTAGGGTCTGTTCTAATGCTGGACTGGGGTAGGGAGGCTCTGATCTCTGTGTCAGCTTTTAACTCAGGGAAAAGGGAATATTCCCAAGCAAGGGATGTCAGACTGAGCAGTGCAAAGGGCTTGTGTGAGATGAGTTGGTGGGTGCTCAGCCTGTGCAGGGACACTCCTTGTTGCACTGAAGCAAAGCTGAGGGATGCACAATCTGAGCCTTTCTTTTCCTTTTGCCTTTTGTTGTTACCTCTTCAGATCAGTCTGGAAACAGATTTCCAGGCCAGAGTCTTTTGAGGAAACTTGGCCTTCCCTGGCCCCACGCTCAGCCTAGTCCTTGGCTGCCTTTGCTCTCCAAGGCCAGCTCTCCCTCGTGAAACTTTCCTCAAAGCCTCCAGGATTTCTCTTGTCTCTTCCCCCTGCAGCCATGAACAGCCCCAGGACAAGTCCCAAA